ATTCACCGCGGGGAATCGAACAACAGATTTTACCAACGAATAGACCGTCACATTATAACGCCCCCACGGCTGAAAGGGCGAAACATGTTTGGTGTGACGGGGATTCGAACCCGTGACCCGCAGATTGCGACTCGAGTGTCCTAACCACCTGACCATGCCTGACAGTAAGTAACTGTAAAATCAACGAAACTAGTGATAGCCCTGAACAGTATAGTCATATTAAAAAAAAACAACTCTAATTATTTACATAAAAATAAAAGAGTGTCATAAAAGTAACATGGAGACTTACAAAATGTTGAAATATTCTATTTCGTAAAGTTACGAAACTCTCGGCTGTGTTTTGTTACCTTTATTTTGAGACTCTCGTAAATTGTCAAATTATCTGTGTCCGATAAAGAACTTTTAGAAACAAGCAAGAGGTAGCAGTACCTGCTCTGTCCAAAATATTATTCACAAGGGTGTTTCACTGTTAACTGATATATAAACTGGAGTGAATAATGATAGACAACTAATTAAAAACAGGAAGAACGAATAAGAATAAAATAGTAAATGCAAGAAACTAGAAAAGGATTTTACAGAAAGTACCAAGAGCTCAGTCTGTACATAAAATCACTTCATCTGTTTTTTGGTTAAGAACGCGCAGCCGGAAAGGATAAACTCTAATAACCAACCGAAATAGAAGCAATAATAAGATAAAATAAAGAAATATTTAGATAAAATAAAGTAATGAAGAAGTACAACAATGATAAGATACAGTAATAGTAAAATAGGGTTCAGTAATGATATGATAAAATACAATAATAATAAGATCAGATATAATAATAACATGGAGTAATGATAAGATAATATACAGTGATAATCAGATAAGATAAATTAATAATAAGATAAGATACAGTGATAATCAGATAAGATAAATTAATAATAAGATAAGATACAGTAATAGGATACAACAATGATATTCTAAGATACAATGACAGTCAGAAAGTATACAATGTAACCTCTCTTCTCTCCTGTAAAAATTTCTCTTTAGAAATTAACACTTATCAAAATCGTATTTACACCAACATTAACACATCAATGTCACGACACTGAGCGTATAAAATATAACATCCTGTGAAACCAGATGCCTCTGTAAAGCTGTCAACACGACCAGACTAGATAATGTACGAAAAGAAACAATCAGACAGCAGCTTGGAGTGAGACCAGTATTGAAACATATAAAAAACAGTTACTGATTATCTGAAAGGTTCATCGAAACGTTATATATTTGTTAATTTTAATAAAGTTTCTTTCATTACCCATTCAAGCCGTCTCCAAATTTTAAGAATTGAAATGGTTCGGCCACTTGCTGCGAATGACTCCAAAGCAGCTGCCAGTGAGAGTATATAATCTCCAACCAATAAGAAACAAGAAAGCAATGGATCGATGTTGTCACGGGAATAGCTAAAAACATGAAACTAACAACTGCTGAAACGTCACACCTTGTCCTGGAAAGTCGTCTGCATTTACCAACGCGTCGAAAGGCTTAACAAAAGAAAGGAAAATAATAATAAAAGTTAAACAAAGTAACGACAGTGGTAAACTATATAAGAATTAAAGTTGTTAAGTAAACTCATTTATTGCTTGGTAGTTTGTGTGATATCACGACAAGCAATACCGGATTAAAGAGTGGGGTCCCTATGCACTATGGAAATTGTACCCACGCATCCACCTTCCTCGACAAAGCACGTGATATACATTCCATAAGAACTTAAACATTTCCCGGTATCAAGATTCAATGTAGGATGATGTTGTAACGTCGAAACATGTAGAGTCGTCAACTTTTTGAAGGCCATAAATAGGCCTAAATAAAATGTTTTTAATTGTGTACCAGTTTAACGTTGAATATTATTTATGATTTGAACTTTATACGCAAGTGCCAAAATACTATAATAATACATGATATAGTCGATTGAATTTTTACTCTTTTTTTCATTTTATTTTGCACCGAAAGTCCGAAACTTTTCTCTTTTTTTTTTAATTTTGTACACTGATCGATCTTTAAACCCCGTAATTAGGTGTCAAATTTGGTCTAAATATAAGCCACACGTGCAAAGTTACTCAACAAAAACCGCTCTTTTTTGACCAAAATTTGGGGCACACCTACGCAAAAATTCAAGGAAGCTATCAGTCTGAAATTTTTACTACAGCTTCACCTTAGAGTAAAGTTGGACCGTTTTTAGTTTTTTGTCATTCGAATTAAAGATGGTTAAATGAATTACAGTAGCACGTGCAGATACACAAGTATTGGTTAGGCCAAGCAAACTAAATTATGAGTTTCTAGTTCAAGTTTTCAAAATAATCATACTAGTGTACGGTTATTATTCATTATTCATTGCCAGCTTTTATGCACAGATTTGCTAAATTTTATGAAATTCTCCTAATTAAAGAGAGTTTAGCGTCATGTGATATTAGGGTAAATAATGATGCTTCGTACGGCTGTAGCGAGTGCATGCGGGTGATAACAGAAACTGTTAATCTAGTTTTTATGGCGTTACTATAAAGGACGTTACTAACACTATTTTAGATAGGAAAAACTACCACCATATATTTTAAAGAATCTGGTT